GCTGAACCACGCGCTGCTCTCAGCACAGGATGCAGCATGTAAGCATGTGGCTGCTTTTAACCGCTCCTTGGGATGCTCCCAAAAACCTCCCACAGCAAAGGGAAAGCTGCTTTGCAATCCGAGCAACAGCAAAGAATGTTTTGTGGCCTTTTAGCAACCCTTTCACAAAAGCGGGAAACAACCCAGCATCCAAGGGGCTTACTCGGAGCTAGTACCCACTGCCACCACCGAGTCACCCTTTGAAATGTGACTTTGCTCTGGAGGGGGACTGTTCACGGGGACACACTGCCAGTACAGCTTGTCTCCATGCCCAGCGGCTGACGGACACATGTCAGGAGGAGGACAAGCTGGGTAACAGTTTATCACATGGTGGCGAGTCTCACGTCAGGGCAGCAGCATCTGGCTTTGAAAACCAAAATCAAGCCCTTGCCACAAGATTTCTCTTTGCTGTGCAAATTCATTTCTGTGGGATTCTTAATAGGCACAAAGCTACTGGCATAGCTTTAATTGACAATGAAAGCAGGGAGTGTCTGTTTTTCTCTGTATTATTTGGAAAATCCCCTTCCCTGCTCTCAACACACTGTTGGCCTAGTGCCCACATTCACCCTCTTCATTACTTCTGACCTTATTATTAGTACAAGGAATAACGAAGTACAAACTGCACTATAAACCTTCTCCCATGCCCATTTTGTGTCAAAGGGTAAATTTTCTGGGGCATGTCTGGTGCCATCTCAGCTCCCTCAGTCTCAGAGAAGAGAGGTTCAGAGATTTTGAGAATAGCAACTCAAAGTGAAGGAAATAAAAGCATGATCAGCAAGTGGTCATGCTGGAAATGGAGGAAACAAAATGAAGACTTACTACACACAGAAGTTTAAAGGGTAGAAAAAAGGATTATAAGGATCAGCAGAAAAGAAGAACAACAGTTCAAAACCAAGCAGATTTGAAGGCATCATGGAAACAGAAACACAGGAAAAGTATTTCCAGGTAACGTTGTGCTTTGATGGTTAGATGGGACCGATTGAATTCAGGATGTAGAGAAGATAAAAGTGCCACCAGTGTGGGTTCTGTAAGAGTATCTCTATTAGATCCTGCTTCCAGGAAGATACTTGATTTTAGAGCAGCTCCACACAAAACAGTTTATCGACATCCCTCTGCTCCTCCAAGTTGCTGGGGGAAGAAAAACAGGGGTGTCCCTTCCACCCACAGAGCCAGAGTCTGCTGAGAGCACCCCAGCACCGCAAGGCCCATGGCTCCAGCAGACCCTGCTCGCAGAGGTGGGAGCGGGACCGGCTCTGCGGGGCAGACTCCTGACCTCACCTGCAGAGCTGAGCACAGGAAACTCAAATCATGGATGACCCTAAGGCAGCAGCCAGCAGGTATAAGAGGTGAGGGTTGGAGTGAGTCACCCGGAGCTCTGCCTAGGGTTGCCATCACACCGCTGACAAGCTGTAACGTGTCTCTAACAGCCCTTTGCAAACAGATCTGGTATCTACCATGAAAAATCACAGGGCTCATAAAAGCGAAAGAGCAAACAAAAAAGAAACACAGCGCCTGAACTCATCGAGGCAAGACACAGAATCCACCAGAGTTGCTCCTTGGAGAGACAGAGTATCTTTGTGTATTTCCCAGAACTAATTTCCTACCCCAAAATCAGAAATAAAACAACTGACATGATGAAAGGACTCCTCTGAAGACAGAGACAGGCACACCTGTGTTATTAGAGTGATCAAGGCCACACAGCAGTCTTCACACAGACCTTTTAGATTTTACAGGGGAGGGAAAAAAAAATGTTTGTTGAGGCTGACACTGATGTCTTGGACACTGTTCATCTGGGTGTGCTCTGCACCATGGCAAACAGCAAAGCCTCTTCTGCTGATAGATTTGACCAACTACAGAATACAACTGGCAAGGCGTTGTTACAGAAGGAAGTGGCACGTTTAAAGTGTTTCCTAAAAGCAATCAAGAAAAAATGAAAGCCAGGAGGGAAGGTGAAAAGCAGCGTGTTAGTGTGCTTCTCCAAGATGAGAACAGGAGATCAATGCTGGGACTGCTACAGAGCTCCATCGCAGGAAGGAGGAAGCGATAACCGCACCTTGTAAAGCAAAATACGGTAACAAAAACATTATGAAAAGGTGCTCAGAAATTAAGCCTTGCAGTCAAAGTACCTTCACATTGAAGTTTAAAAATAGTTAACTCTCTTCCTAACCCCGTCCTCTTCTGCTCATCTACGCACAGAGAGCCACCGTCACTTGGGTTATGGCAGGGAGGAGTTTGCGCCTTGCAACTGCAGCAGTACATCAGCAGAGACACTGGCAAAACGGATCCGTGCAAACCCTGCCTGCTTGTCCCAGTGCTCGGCAGGAAAAGCCTCAGCCAGTGGATGCTTTCCGAGATATCGCCCTCGCTCTCTCTAGCAATAGTCTCATAGTCATGGCCAGCAAACCAGAAGGAGCTGAGGAAGCAGAGTGCAACAGAGGCAGGACTTTTATGATAGAGTTTTCAGATGCCAAAGGAGAACATGGTGATGGTCACCTGCATAGCTGTCTGGAGAATGCTGCCTCCAGCTGACTAGAGAAATCCTATAATCCTCGGTGGGCAGCTCTTAAGGCAGGTACACACCCCTAGGACTGAGCCACCCACGTTTTCTATTTACTAGTACTGGATTCTTCTCCAGAAGAATTGGGTGCAACCCTAAAAGAGAAATTCTAGTGATACCAGTATGAGGGTTTTATCTGCAGAGTTCATATGCCCCTGTTCATTCAGTTGAGCTAAATGGATGAAGCTTTCTTAATTTTCCTCAATTTTTTCAGATCTTGATCTACCCTTGTAGCCCTCTTGTGAGGCGATCCAAATTCTCAGCATCCCCTACAAAGCAGACATCACCATTGGACTCATCAGACCAAGCATGACGCAGCTCCCCACATACAAGGTGATATCACCCAGCCACTTCTATTCAGTGCTCCCCCAATCATATGCTTCAAAGTCGTAGCTTTCTTGGCTACAGCTTTGCACTGGCAGCTACTCGCTCAGTTTTCACAGTGACCAGAGCAAAAACAGAACATGATTAAAAGTAATCCAGTTACCACAGCTTCGTACATCAGCATCTCAGTCAGCTGAGCCCCGGTCTAAAAAGAGCAGCAGTCTAGGCTTTGCAGGTGGGGTAGGTGCATATACACAGGAATGGCAATTTGGAGATGGGCATGAACTCCCCAGGTCAGGGAAACTTTACCACCCTTCAGTGATACACTAAAGCCTTTGAGTCACTGCTTTCCATGCTACAGCCCTAACTTTCTAAGCATGACCTGCTCCTTTGCTCCTGGATTTTTACTTCTGCATGTAACCATATTAAATGCATGTTCTCCAAGACTTCCCACCAGCCTTTTAGCCCACAATGCATTTACCCTCTTTTACCACCTCACACATTTTTTTTCTACCAAGATTATTGGCAAGGAATTTATACACTCAGGAGGGAGTTTATACACTCAGCTAGACTTTGATGAAGATACACCACCACACTTGCCAAGAGAAGATCCATGGTGAAGGCTTAGCTGTCAACCTTGAACCTCACTTTGGCTTACCCAAATCAAATATTCTTCTACCATGAACAACAGGGGAGAGCAGGCACTGAAGATCTCAAGGGGTCACCCACCTACCCTCAAACACTAGCATAAGCAGTGGCTGTGCAGATGCAGAAGTGGTGTAAAAAATGAGGAAGAGAAGGATATTAAGAGGCAGCGAAGAAGGGACAGAGTAAATGAGACTAGTGTGGTGGAGGGAGGAGGTACGTGTAGGTTTCTGATATTCTCACCTAAATGAAAGAAAAAGGCTGAAAATAAGATCTTGAAATACCTGTGCCAGGGAGTAGGGTTTTGGGCAACCCATTGTGTTGGCCAAACTCAGCCACCCACTGAAACAGAGAGCTGGCAACCCTGTCCCAAGTCAGGAGTGCCGTTAGCTTGCAGTGCAACACTTGGGATGTTGCAGAGACAGAAAAGCCTCTGGCTCTGCAGAGAAAAGCATAAAACCTGGGCATGCCGGTCCATGTCCTCCAGACTCCTGGCAGAGCTGGGGGCTTTCAGAGTTCAAGAGAGGACCATCCTGATCTGCAGACCCTGATGAGATGGCAGGAGAGAGAGCTGAGAAGGGGGTGAGCGTGGCCCGTGCCGGGAAGGTACCTCAGGGCTTTGGGAAGTTGCCTCCAGGTACATTAGAGACGGATCGCCAAGGACAAAGCCCATGTTTGACATCTTGTGAGCAATCGCCTGCATCACGCTGGTTCCTCTGGCACTCCGTGGGGCTGGAGGGATTTCAGAAGACCATAAAAGCGGGAATTGCAACAAAGTCTAGACAGGATGTGATTAAGGCCTGAATAAGGATTGCCCCAGAGGTAAGGTCAGGGAAAGGACAGATCCTGGCAAGCCTCCAGAGAGATAGGTTGACTCCTTCAGGAGCCTCTCCTTCAGGACATGGAGGAGAGTTTGCTCAGCGATGAGGATGCAGTGTCTGATGTGGAAACTGCCAAGGGCAAAAGATTCTGGTTTTCTGAAGGAACAAAAAAAAGAAAGAAACAGGATCTCCATCTCCAGCCCCTGCACCTGGGCCCCTCCTCTCTGGAGCCACTTAGCCAAAGCAGAATAACATACAGAAAACAGTCCTGCAAACCACAGGAGCAGTGGTCCAGTTTGAGAGAGGCTGGGTGGGAAGAGCAGTGGGGAAAATGGAAAACCACATGGGGCAAGGAAGAAAGGACCGATTGGAAACAAGACAGTTGCTGTTCAGGCAGCAGAGAATACAGGAGAGGGAGTAAGCTCATGTCCAGCAAAAAGAGAAGCTAGAGCCCTTCTGTACCAGGGGAAGCTCCATGGTGTCCAGGCCATTTAGGTCTTGCTGGCTCCAGAAGTTTAGGTTCTCCTATCTCACAGCCCATCAGGACCAAAGCAGACACCCTTGCTCCGCTGGAGCAGGGAAGTCCCTGCCTTTCCAGAGAGACCTGCACTGATTCCTCGAAGCTCTGCAAAGCCTGCCGTGACCCTGTGACACACTGCAGACATGAGAAAGCCCTTCCCCAGGGACATGGCTGATGTCCTGGTGCTGCTACTTACAGCTGTCAGCTCCCAGCAATATGGGGCTCAGCACCACACCTGGGTTCAGGGAAAGACTCCTGTCTTCCAAAGCAGATGCTGCCACATGCTTGTTCCCATTCACTGCTTCTATTTTTTCACTATGCTTAGTCATAACCTCCTGCCCTTCTGCCAGGCTTACACAGACATCATGGCCTCAAGGCACCATCATTCTCAAACACTGTCTCATGCTCCTGGCCAATGTACAGCATCATGCCCTTTCCTGCCAGCAGCTCCAACTGGGAAATCCTCTTCCAGCCTCATGCTCATCCTTAGGGCATCGTAAGCAAACAGAGTCCCTTCCCTGAGACGTCCTCCTTCTGATCCTGCCCAAGGCTGGGTCTCTGAAATGGCTAACGTGGCCATTTGGAGACAGAGCAGCATACCTCCTCCAAACATGCTTGTCCTGAGGCTCTCCATTGTCTAAACATGAACATCCCCATACACACACATGCTCCACCCAGGCTGCAAACAGCATTAGTTATTTATAATTATTCCACATTTGGCTGCTGCTACAGATCTCTGAATCTGACCTGAAAGCAAGCAACTCCAAATCACCCAGGAGAAGCATCCTAACACCGTATTTCCAATGCACCGCAGCACAGCTACGCTATGCAACCATGCGCTTACCTGGTTTTCATTCATGCAGGTGCCCAGAAGACCCTGAGCAGCAAAGAACAGCAGGACAGACAGAGAAGAGTTTTATTTACAAATCAGTGCCAAGTTTCCTAATTGATCATGCAATTTTTCATGTACTTTGGCAGAAATAAAAAAAAGTTATTCAAGTTAAAGCAAGGGATGAACTACATGTTGAAAACCAGAAAGAGAGAGGAGTCACTTAGCATAGCACAATCTTGTACTGTTTTGCACAGGCCAGTGATATGACGTGTCTCTGGGATTCTGCTGCCGGCCACCCAGAAGGTATTACCCAGAAACTAAGATTAGTCAAGGAAAAATTCCTTTATGGCTCTGTGAAGATGACACATTGTTCACTCCAACTAAACTCAAAACAAAATTATTCTGTACAGCTGTAAGATTCTCTGAAAATGCCCCAAAAGAAACGGCAGTTTCCTCCAGCACTAGTGAGCAACAGATGAGTGGGCTCTCCCAGCCGCTGCCTCCTCTGTCCCAAATGCCAGGGCTTTGCAGACCTTACAGTTGGATGCAAGTGAAGCCAGCAGCAAATGTAATCAACACATCCAAACGCTGCCAGTTTGGATGTTGAAAGTTGTCATATACAGAGGTTCAGCATGTAGCCAAAGCTTAGCTGTTTCCCCAGATTTTTAACAGCCCTCCAATACATTGCAGAAAAGAAGTTGAAGGAAGAAAACAGAGAGGAATTTGGACAAGATTTGTGACCTGTTTCAGGAAGTAAATTTCTGAAAACCCTTGCAACAAGTTCTCTGTCTGGTTCTCTAACCTGGCACAAAATATTCTTAAACTCCCTCTTTCTGAGTCTGCCAGTGGCCCCAGCTGCCAGGCTGTGACTGGCATGCATTTGCCATGTGCAGTTTCTTCCTTGAAGGAAGACAAAAGAAAAAGTTGATTTCTAGCAGAGAAGAGTTTTGATATTTAGTTTATCCCATGATAAACTGACTACAAGTTTTTCCAAATATCTAAGTACTGCACAATAAAACATTTTTCTTCTCAATCTACTATATAAGACTGCAGAAGAGCATGCTTAGAAAGCTCAGACAGCATGGAAAGAGTCTTACCTGTATAGTCCTGCTCCTGCTCTCGTGAAGAAGCAGCTCCTCTGACAGAAGCAGAGTCCGGGCTGGGTTGCAAAGATCTAGGGGCTACATTTGAAAGGGGGAAGGGAAAAAAAAAAAAAAAAAAAAAAAAAAAAAAAAAGAAAAAGAAAGAAAGAAACAGTCAAACCTTCCACTGGAAGTGTGGTTTGCCAGAAAAACTTTCCGCCCACCAAACCCACTTTGTCTTCACTTGAAGCTGTAACTCATTCAGGCAGAAGCCACCCCACACTGTGCTCAAAAGGACAGAAAGTCTGCAGTCCAGCTACATGATAAAAAAAAAGCTTTACACTTAACACCTACGTCAGACCCATCTATAAAAAGACAATCAGCCGCTTGCCTCTTTGTACGTTAACTGTTCTGCACAGTGCGGGGTTGGTTAGGGGTGCTTTTTAGCAGGAAACACAACCACAACGTTGGGTTTCACATATGGCACATTAGGTTCTCACATCCCTCAGACAAGAATATTTGCTACATGACTTTATGGATTACTCTCACAGTAAGTTAAAGCGACTTTAAGGCGGCTGTCCTTTCTCATGCCGTGCTGCACGCTCAGCTCCCCAGTCAGCACCTTCTCTGTTTAACCCTGGAGAACAGGACAGGTTCAGTTGTCCTGACTGCAGAACAAACCCTGCAAAACCAGCCCAGGACGCTCCTCCTGAGTAGCATGGCCAGCAGGCACATGAGGGTACCTGCACCAGCCCAGCCCCACATTTGCCCCCAAGCAGTCCACAGGCTCCGGCCGGAGTGACAGGCTCCCAAAGGAAATCGCCAGTCTGAGCTGATGTGACAGTGTCATCGCTGCTAGCAGGGGAGGATGGATGGCTCCCCACGGTCTCAGAGATGAAGGTATTCATCAGTAACATACTTAAACATACAGGATCAGATGAGGTTTTCTGGGGTTCTGGCCGTATGAAGGACAAAAATGGAAGACACAGGGGTATTTAGAGCACCAAATTCAGGGCTAAGTTTTCAGAAAGTAATTTATGGAACTGGGGAATAAGAACATCCTCTGTCAAGCCATTACTGCTCTGGACCCTTGTCCATGATTTTAGTGCTGGCCATCAGCTAAACTAAAAGACCTTTGCACGCTATAATTAATAGCACAGAGAACCCATGGGAAGAAACCATACTGATCTTCAATTATGTGAAGTTCATTGCTGAAGTCCGGAAGCCGGGATACCTTCTCCTGACTCAAGCAAGCACCTGAGGACCAGATTTGAAAGCGGAAAAGGGAAAAAACTCTGGCAGAGAATCGCTTGGGCAGGACACAATTCCCTTTGAGAAAGTACCCAGCATTGTGCTGAGTACAGCCAGCTCCAGAGGAGAGAGCTGAGGATGACAGGGGATCCATGCATTCATGGTATATACCGCTGGGAAACATATCCGCCTTGCCTGACAGCCTGGACCCAACCTACAGCAGCAAGATCTGATACAACCCGCTGTGCTGGGCACTGATTGCATTAGATCCATAACACCCCACTTCCAGCTGCGCTTACCTGCACAAAGATGGGGAACACCAGCACTTTGGGAGCCAGCGTCACATATGTGCCGTAGCTGGAGTGCGGGATGTGCGGCCTCACTATGGTACAGTTCTGGTAGTTCCCGTGGCTCTTCATCGTCTGCACAGTCTTCATCAGCCTGGATTTTCTCCCAGACCCCATGTGCGATTTCCCTTTACTTGCATTTCCTGGACCAACAGAGGAAACAGAAAGAAACACAGAATCAGAAGAGAGCTCCTGCAGAGCTGCTGCATGATGCCAGCTTGGTTCCTGCTCTCACAGGCACATAAAACCTAAGGGGAATAGCTGGAGTTGAGCGCTGCAGGGACATTCGTTACTCCGGTATCAAAGTTTCCCAGGGATTCATGAAATAACAGCACTGACTTCATTTTTCCTAATGCAAAATGAGATGTGCCTTGATATTTCTGCTCAAGAGCTACTCGTTTGCCGGACCAAGGACTTAACTGGATCACGCCAGCAGCACAAACACATCTATGTACCCACAAACAAAAACCCAAGGAAGTCACAAGCAAGCTCAGCTGCAAACCAGCACATCTGTCTCTGTTTGGGTGTACGCTGCCTTCTGCACACTTTGCAAATATGGCACTTTGGAGGAAGAGATGTGATACTGTTACACACACCTCCCCAGGCAGTACTGACAGTACAAAGTAAGAAATACAGAACAACCCCAAACATGGCTTTAAATGGTCATTGTTGAATCTCAGAAGCACCAAGGAGGTTCCCCCCAACGGGAAATACCTGCCTGAACCACTGAACTATGACTTTTCTCTTTCCAGGAAGGGGAAAACCATCTGTGACTAATTCAGAGTGGGGGGAAAAAAAAACCCAACAAAAACAAACACTGGAAATTTAAACCTTGGGACATTTTTATCCACACAAGTCCTGCCTGCTCTGGATTCTGGGCACGGAGTTAGCAAAGTGCAGGAATTTCACATCATGGGGCACTGGGTGGTGGGTTAATCACAGCTTTTAGAAGATACTAGGGGTGGAGATGTCAGAGAAAGAGACAGAAGTGATGAACACATTCACGCGCATGGGATCAATCCATGCCTTTCCAAACCGCTCCCAGGGATGTGATGGTTACTCAGACATGGGGGTGTATTTATAAAGGATGACCTCATTTTGCATGAGGCTGGCACAACATCATCCACTGTTTTTCAGCATTACATTTCAGTGCTAGAAAAAGTCCAAGCAGCCTGACTGGTTTTTCACTCTGTCCCCCACCACTGCAGGAAGCCCTTACCCTCATTCAAAGGAGGGATTACACAGGAGCTTTCCTTTGCAGCCTCCCACCTCAGCAGAGCTGTAACATCTCTCAACAAGCCAATATCAGCTACTGTGGCCACTCCACACCTGCCAGTCTGCATCGCTAGAGGCCAGGAGGCATTAGGTGGTATGTTAAACTAGTCCCAGAATCTCTAATGCAATCGATAATCCTGTGATTAAAAGCACTGTTGATAATTATCAACAATTATCATTGATCCTTGTTAGCTGCTTCACGGATGAGTCCTTCCTTCCCCTATTGCCAGGCAATTGCTGCTACATAGGATTTCTAAGCCCTTTCCTCAGAGTCCAAAGGAATGCCTTTGAATATATCCAGCAAGCAGCTGTGAAATATTTCCCATTAATGACATGAATCCATTAGGCCAAAGGGCCTCAGCATTCTCTGGTGACCCCAGCATACAGTTTTGGCCAACCCTGATGTCCCCAGGCCCACAGTGCACATCTCTCCTGCCATACACAAACTCCCATCGCAGCAGCTCAGGACCAACCACGCTGGGGAGAGAACGTGGGACAGGTCCGTGTTCTCCAGAGCCCTTAACCCCAGACCATGTCCTGCTGAGCATCAGCAACCTGTGCTCTGTCCCAAAACTCAGAGGTAACAACTCCAAGAGGAACTAACAAAAAATTTATGCCTTCTTCAAAAGAAGCCCCACTGAAAAACCAAAGTATTTCCTTCTTCCCTCCCTCCCTCAGCTGATGAGCCAAGCCAGCTCGGGTCTAGCAGGCAGACCTCTCCACTTGGATTTTAACACATCCAGGTGAGAAGCTGGAGCATTAGCCCATTCTTCCCCACAGCGATGTTTCAGGAACACATATGAGCAAACCCTCCTGCAGCTCCCTTTAGAGGGGTGTCCCAGCAGAGACTTCCCCCCCCAGCATCCCTCCCTCCAGCTACCCAGCCCCAGGAGTTTCTGCTCCCATCACAGCACCTTTCTGCACAGTGGCTGCTGCCTTTGTGCTGTAACGGATACCCATAACGTTCCCAAGCAGAAATGAGCCAAAACACTTCCGAACATGGCTCAGAGCAGATAAGGTCTCATCCAAAGCAAATATACAAACCTACCCAACATTACATATTCCATTAAGTATTAGGAAATAGCACATTTAAATGCCAGCAGAGCCAGACCATGCTCTGTTGGCAATGCAGACCTGCTGTTTGCTGCTTGCTTTAACAGCCTGCCTTTGTAGGGGGGGTGGCCCTCGTGACCTAAAAGGTTGTTTCCACCTCTAAGTGCAATAATCCTGACATTTTCTCTTTTCCCTTTTTCATGGTTGCACTGCCAGATAAAATCAAAGCACGAGAGACAGCTCAACACAGGACAGATACAATCTGTCTGGGTTCTTTAGGATCTGCTTTTCCCCTTATCCCCAGATCACCTCATTTATGAGAGGAATTCATCACCTGCACCAATCCTGTTTTCTGCACGCTGGCACAGAAACACACCCAGCCTGCCCAAAGCGTCAGCTCCACACCGCTGCACTTAATCACTGCTCAGGTTAACTAACACATTCTTCCCTCCGAAGACTTAACATTAAATAAACTGAAAACAATCACTAAAATTTGTTAAGGGAAGAAGGCCGAGTCTTTCAAATTCCACTCTGCTGTAAGAACAAGTCCCCATGGTCCAGCTCATCTTTTCACAGGATCCACAAACAGCAGGAAAGAGTTGCAATTATCCACGGTACAAAACATCCCCTGCAGTTGAGCTGTGGAAAATTCTTCTGACTGCAGAGCTCCGGGGCTGGGAGCATCCAAGGCACAGGGGCCTTGGACCCACACTGCTCCCTGGCATCCCCGCCATGGCTTTGCCAGCCCCACACTTTGCCTTCTATAGTCACCGCCCCACCTTTACAGGCAACACAAAATCTTCTAACTATGCCCACGCCAGGGAGGGACAGCTGAGTTAGACACCCCTGCAAGACCATGCCTAGGAGGTCAGCTCTTCCACGGACACACAGCTCATCCTAAGGGCACCCCAACAGACCAGGGTGCAAGCGCAGCCTCCCAAAGCTCCCAAATTAAGGAGCAGGCAACAGGTGTTTCTGCATGGACCTGGATTCATGCAGTCCCCAGCCCTGCCACACACCTCACCCCACTCTTCTGCAAGCCCAATCACACCTAGTTCTCCAGGAAGACCCAGCACACCTGTTGCAGAAAATGAGTTTATGTTTCAAGGGGTTTTTGATGAAGAGAGCTGATCCAGAGACTGCCAGAGACCTTGCAGCAGCCCAGAAAATGAGTATTCCCCAAATCTGGCACATCAGCCTGCATTATCGTTTGTACAAATCTGAGTCACGACCATCCTCACTCCCTTAGTAATAAAATGAACCTCAAAGCAGGGGCCACAGTATTAGCACCCCCACAGCAAGGCATCATGCACAAGAAGGGAAACAAGTCACAGACAGGCCCACAGACACATCTGGGGAACCGCAATAAGAACAACACTTCGCACTTTCACACTTCATGCTTTCATCATGCCCCGATGGAAAGTCCCTGCCACCAGCCTCCCTTCAGCCGCTCTGTGAGCTCCCACAGAGACCTTCTCATCACGAGGCTCACCCAGTGACGTTAGCAGCTCTGCTCGCCTCTGGGCTTGGGGGTAGGGTTCTTGCTTTTATGTTTGACTCGGGGTAGGAAGATGATCCTACCCAAAAGACCAAGGCTTCTGCCACTGTCCTCAAAACGTGAGGGACTCCATTGCAGGGCTAAGGGCAAGGATTTGATAGTGCTAGAAAGACCGTGTTTAGCTCTGCTGGGTGCTCTGAGAAGCATTGTCAGCACATCGGCAACTTACCCACCGTAGCGTTATTCTCTTGATAGACAGGCCTCAGCAGCTGTAAGACACAACCCAGAAAGGACACAGTCACTTGAAGTAGGCTTGAGGTAGGCTTCACAACAACCAACTGCAAATTTTAGCATGCCAAATCCAGCAAAGCCAAAGCTCTCCAGAGAGGTGAAAATCATTTTTGCCCTATTGCCAGCAGAAAATGAGAGCAATGACTTGCACTGTGGTCCATGCAGTGGAAACACTTCCCATACCCTTACCCCTTGAGTGAGCCCTGAGAGGAGGCAGCAGGTGATTCAGTCTGGCTTTACAGTCCCGGTGCTAAATGTTTTCAGAAAATAGTGGAAGCTCCACCAAGGAACACAGGTCTGGCTTGTAAAACGGGCATGTCGTCTAGCAAACATTTAGAAATTATGTTTGATAAGACTGAAGCATGGGCCAAGAAAGGATCCAGCAAGCACAGACAACAGCCACATGCAGTAACTGGAGCGTGGGGCTAGAAAGCAGCCTTACCTGGCTCCCTGGGTTCAAAGGCGCTAAGATGATGTAGTTCTGGTCCGCAGCAGAGGGGACCCGGGACAGGGGTGGCATGGTGTTCTGGTTCCGCTTGCCGATCTCCGTGTACCTCTCCCAGCTGTTCAGCACCAGCCCATCGCTCCCATCATATAGTATGTGGCAGCTCCGGCGCTGCTCGGGCCGCGGAGGCATGGTGCTGTTCTTCTCCCGCTTGTTGGGTGGTGACTGGAGGTCGTAGGCAGACTTGCAGGATGATCTGCGGATCATGCCCTCATGTCCTGACTTGACCTGCGGGACGAGCCTCCAGACCAGCAGTATGATCTCAGTGGGACAGTTCCTGAAAGGGGTGGCATGAGGCAAGTCAGAGATGGAGCAGGAGGGAGTGAGGCACCCTGCATCATTCAGACAGCCATGAGCCCTGCAGTCCTCCCTCCCTCTAATGCCTCTGCCACCGTCCTGCCCTTCCCAGCCCCTCCATCCTTTCTTCTTCGACTCCAGAGAATCCTTTCCCAGTCTCCTGCATCCCTCGAAGCCTTCCCCTTCTCGTAGCCACTCAAAGCTCCTGCTGCCATGCCCTGAGCTCCTTCAAACCGTCTTTCCCAGAGCCCTGCACTGATGCTTTGGGTGAATACTCACCGGATTTCATGAGCCAGCTCTACACATTTCCAGTGCTCCACAGGCTGCTCGTTCAGCTGCAGCACCGTGTCAAGTTGCTGCAGACCTGCCTTTTCTGCTGGGCCACCTACGGAGAGAAGAGACAAATGCCAGTGATCTGCTGGACAGAGAGCTGAGAGTGTGAGCAGGAGGAGAAGCCCTAGGGCTAGGAGAAACCCAAATAGCTTCACAGCTTGCACCACTCGCTCCTCCAAACCCAATCTGTTTCCTGTAACACCCAGACCTGAAAATGAAGTGGGGCTAGCTAGCCTAGAGCTTCACCTTCCAACACGCATGCACATACAGAGCGCCTGGGACAAAGTCCTAAATGCTCTCTCAGACCTATTGCATGAAGCCCCTGTGTTTCCTGGTGTGCAGTGGGGAGCACCAGGGTACAGAGACACCAAGTCCATCCTGCAGGTCCACGCCAAGAGGATGTGCTCAGCCAACTGAGGGCTCCCACGATCCTGCTCCCCTCTGTGCCCGTCTGACACGCCCCCAACCCCCAGATGCTTTCCGTAGGTCTTCCAACCAGCTGGACAGTTTTCAAGTTGGAGAGGGAAGGGAACAAAATCTTTGCAAATTACTGCAACACACTGCCAAAACAGTGACAGAGCACTAACCCAGTGGCCTCTGACCTCATTAGAGGCAATAGAGAATTCATTAAGTGAAGTTTCTTGTAGGTAACCAGAGTCCTGCAAGGCACGGGAGCTTCTGAATCACAACATGCTCTGGGAAGCAAAAGAGGAGCAGAGTCATTCATTCAAATCAAGAGGGATAAAAATGATCTGATCTCTTACCGGAGTCCACTGCCTGCACACGGACGGGGGAGTCGCAGCAGATCGTGAAGCCAAACCCATTGCTTCCTCGAGGGATCGTAATCTGAAGAGAGACACCGGAGTCGCCTGTTAAATGGGAAAGCAGCCGCTGCGTGTGATCAGCGAGCATCCCCCCTTTCACCCCCACACTGCCCCACAGCCTTTGGAAAATTCAGACACACGGCATTTCTAGAAGCAGTCACAGAGCCCAAAGGAGCTGTCACAGTGAATGCTGTCACTCTGTGAACCCCACTGACAACAGGTCTCTCCCCTGCTGCAGCCAAAGCGGGGTGGAAAGTGTGCTAAAAAGCAATGCAAAAATCGACCCAAGAGAGAGCAATGCCGCAAAACGAGTGTTTATTGAGCGTATGCAAGTCTCCACTCGTGACTCTTGCAAGTGTAAGGAAAGGTCTGACAAGCCATTAGAAAGGAAAACCTGGAAGTCTGGCTCTGACACTGATTTCTAACACGGCTTCTCTAAGCAAGTCACTTAAACATTTCATTTTCAGTAGGGTAATACAGAAATAGCAGCACTCTTCTGCTCCAGGGGAAGCTGCGAGGATCAGCACGCTCCCGTCTGCAAGGCATCTGTGCTGGAGCGGGCTCTGCATGCATCACCCCATCAGCTGGGGTGAGTATGTTTTCTCTCACTGAGTTTGGAGAGGATGGATGCTGTGTTGATTTAGGCTCATTTCTCCTCCTGATTCAAGAAGCATTGAGCTTATTAATAAAATTATATTTATTTTTTGATGTTGGCTTCCAGCAGCAGCTCGGCACGACAGTTCCTGTAAATACCTGATTATCCCCCAAGACATCTGTCAAGATCCTTGCTTTACTGACAGAGAAAAGAAAAGAAAAACCCAACATCTGACCTGTATTATTTTGAGAACAAACAGTCAGAGAGAAAACGAGGAATTCAGCAGAAGCTGCCAAGGAGGGGAACTGGTTCCTCGCTCCTTTATCACGGGAGGGCAAAAGCAGCGAGCTTTCATTTCTCTGCACCTTGTCCCTGCTTGATTGCTCAGCATAAAGTCAGGCT